TCCGGCAAGTCAGTCCCCTCCCTCCCCGCCACCCCGGGATGAAACTGAAGCCGGGGACGCGCGCCACGCACTCTCGGACCCCGAGACGCGCCCAGCTGGGACGTGGCGGCCCTGGCCGAGCGCTGGGGAGAGGGAGAGAAACGCGCGCGGTGGAAATCGCCGCCTGGACCGAGAGCAGGAAGGGGAGGAAAGTTTGGAGGTTTGTCCGGAAGCTCCTGCTGGCCTAGAGCCGCCACCACCACGTGGACCTACTTCCCCGGGGCTGGGCCCGGCCAGAGCTGGGTCAGGCTGCACGGGTGCGGGACCCGAGCGGCCACCACCCTCGTGCCACCCTGACTTGCAGATTCCAGGCTACCCTGCGACCGCGTTCTTGTGGCCAGAAAGCTTTCTAGTCTGGTTACCAGGACCAGATTGTTGCTGTGCCCCGTGGAGCAGAGAGCTGACATTCCAGCCCTGTCATCGGCGCCGGTCGTTGATTGCACTAGGCACCTCTTTAAGTGGGAGAACCTGATTTGTCCAGATGCTGCTTTTACCGGGTATGGTTTGAAGGGTGGGGCACCTCCCCTCAGCGGTGCCCGCCCAGGGCTTATTCCTGACCGGAAGCGGTGACCGGGATCGCACCTTCAGGCCTGCAAGGCAGGAGGTGACCTACCCGTAGTACTATAGGTGACCCGGCCCCTGTTGTACCCAACTTTTTCCACCTGCACGACTGAATTTTAAAATTTATTTTATTATTATTTTTTTTGCTTTTTTGGGTCACACCCGATGATGTTCAAGGGTTACTCCTGGCTCTGCAGTCAGCATCACTCCTGGCGGTGCTCGAGGGACCATATGGGATGCTGGGAATCTAACCCGCGTTGGCCGCGTGCAAGGCTAACGCTCTACACGCTGTGCTATGGCTCCAGCCCCTAAATTTATTTTTCTTTCCTAATTTTTTTTTTGGGGGGGGTCACGCTGGCAGTGCCCGGGGCTTACTCTTGGCGGAACTCAGGTGACCATATGTGGGGCCAGGGATCAAACCCAGCGCTGCTGCATGCCCGGCTAATGCCATAACCGCTCCAACCCAATGCTTATATTTTATTTTATTTATTTATTTTTTAACATTCTCTTGTTCAGTATGTCTTGGATTTTAAGATAAGCTTTTTTGTTTTACTATTTTAAAATTGTGATGTGTCTTGCATATTTTGGAGGGGGGCACGTGGGGCACGTTGGGCCATAACCTCCAGTAAGGGACTTCTCTCCCTGTGTGGTCATCAGGGTCACTTCCCAGTGATGCTCAGTGCCGGTGATGTACCCGGACCTCCTGCCTGGGGCTTATGCTTTGGACTTTCACCCTGGCCCTTCAGCTTGTCATTTTTGTCTGTTTAATGAGGAATATTATCATCTCTTCATCTCTCCATCCCTAAAAGTTGTTGAAAAGAATGGTTGTAGGCCAGGCAGACAGCTGAGAACCTCACAGCACCCAAGAACTCAATCCTGAGAAAAGAACCAGGTCCACCAGGTGTGGCCCTCCTCCCCCACCCCAATAAAAAACACCTTGTGTGTGGACCCCAACAAAACAAAACAAAGATCATTTGGAGCCAGAAGAAGGCCGAGAGATGGAGAGGTGTGTGCCTTTCATGCAAAGAGAGCTGAATTCCCTGTGTGCCTTGCCCCTAGCCCACAGGTGGGGGTCGGTGGCCCTGATATCCCCAGCACTGCTGGGCCCAGCTGTACCTCATGACTTGCTACTAGCATTGAGACATCTGGGCAGAGTTGACTGGGAATGGCCCTGCTTTAGTCCCCACCCCCAGCCCTGTTTGGGGGATTGGTACCCCCACTCCTACCCAATGGAGATTTTACATCAGGGTTGTAAAAAATCAGAAAAATTGTTTATTAGCCCAGTAACCACTAACCTAGATTTCACTTAACTAAGCTGTAAGTTAATCAGTTCAGTAGCGATAGCACAGCGGTAGGGCGTTTGCCTTGCATGAGGCCAACTTGGCCGACCTGAGTTCCTCCGCCTCTCTCGGAGAGCCCGGCAAGCTACCGAGAGTATCTCAGATCGCCCGCACGGCAAAGCCTGGCAGTCTACCTGCGATACTGTGATGTATTCGATACTGGGCCCGCTCGAACAAATCGATGAACAATGGGAGGACAGTGCTACAGACAGTGCTAAGCTGTCAGTAATTTTAGTGTGAATACAGAGAAGCACGTGCTGTCACTTATGGCAGTATAGTAGCACTGTCCTCCCGTTGTTCATCAGTTTGTTCGAGCGGGCCCAGTAACGTCTCCATCGTGAGACTTGTTGTTACTGTGTTTGGCATATTGAATACGTCACGGGTAGCTTGCCAGGCTTTGCCTTGTGGGCGAGATACTCTTGGTAGCTTGCCAGGCTCTCCGAGAGGAGCGGAGGAATCGAACTCGGGTCGGCCCCGGGTAAGGCAAACGCCCTGCCCGCTGTGCTATTGCTCCAGCCCATTTGGCAGTATAACAAGTGAAATTTGTATTCTAACAAAAGCATTTGTTAGGCAATAGTGGTGTTATTTTGTTAGTGATTGTATATGGGAAAAAATGCTTTCAGTGGTTTTATTTTTTTTTGTTTTTTACATACGTTACATCCAGTGTTTTACCATGATATGTGGTGAATGTGTTCATGCTGTATTAGTATGTTGTGTTTCAAGAAAACAAACCTTTTACTTCCGTGTTGCTGCTACTCATATTCCTAAAATTTGAAAGTGGTGATGTAGGGTCATAGTACATGGGTAGGGATCTTGCTTTGCATGTAACCTACCCAGGTTCCATCCTGGGCACCCCATATGGTTCATGACCTGTGTCAGGAGTGATATCTGAGCGCAGAGCCAGTTCCCTGAGAACTGTTATATATATTCCTCAAAGCAAAAAGATCCAAGCACTAAAAATAAGTGGTCGTAAGGGGCAGGAGATGGGTGACAGAATATGAAAATTTACATTGTTAGGTATCATAAATAATACCTTTGGAGTCAGTCTAACATTCAGTTTGTTTGTATTTCAATTTTAGGGCGCACACAGCAGTGCTCCTAGGTCTGTGCTCAGGGATCACTCCTTGTGTTGTTTGGGAGACCGTACCTGGTGTCAGGGATGAAACCAAGCCTCCCCCCCTCCCCCCGGTCCTATCCAGCCCATCCAGTAATTAATTTTTAAAAATTCAGAGTCAGCAGCTTGTCCAGGAGTCCTCCTAGATCATGTCCAGGCTCAGTTATTTATTAGATTCCCAGCTGATTTATTGCGGTGGAAGGAGACCAAGTGCTTAATTGCTCCAGCAACTAGTTTTGTGACAGTGTGTGAAATGTTGCCGACCAGGGAAGCTTATTAGACACTCAGTGCCCAGCATTTTACTGATGTCTGGCCACCCAGGCAACTGCCTGCCTGGCACATATCAAAATTCCCAGGAAGAAACCTGTTGTTTGGTACACATACTTTGTAGTTCAGACACAGTAAGTTACTCTTATCAGTCAGTGGTGGTGGGAATTCTTCCAAAATTTACCTTCCCAGCCATCAGCCCATAACTGACCTTTATCGAAGAAAGCAGGGAACTAAGCACTGCAAGCAGAGACTTTTCCAGAATCTGTGCGCATCTCTCCTTGTGTTTGTTTCTGCCTCTCTTCTGGGCTCTGAGTACTATCAGTATGACTCACTGAAGCCTTAATCTTTTTGTATGTTTGTTTCATTTGGGGGACACACCGGGCAGCGGGTGCTCACACTTTTTCCTGGTGCGCCGCCTTGGGGGACTATATGATGAGGTGATGGGCAAGTGAACTGGGAACAAATACCCAGACACCCTACCACTTTACTTCAGTCTTAGCCTTGATTCTTTTTTTTTTTTTTTTTTTTTACTTTTTGGGTCACACCTGGCAATGCACAGGGTTACTCCTGGCTCTGCACTCAAGAATTACTCCTGGCGGTGCTCGGGGGACCATATAGGATGCTGGGAATCGAACCCAGGCTGGCCACATGCAAGGCAAATGCCCTACTGACTGTGCTGTCGCTCCAGCCCTGCCTTGATTCTTTAGTTGAAAAACCAAACTATTCTGTTTAACTCAAAAGGGAAAGAAAGCATTTATCTTTTAAATTCAGGCTGGTGGTGTGTGCAAGACACACTAGCCCTGGTACTGCAAACCTTACCATGTGGGTTTTATTCTTTTTTTCCCCAGATCTATCCCCAGACACTAAGGTCTGTTTCTAACTTAGACTTTTACCTCTCTCCAGTGTAAGATTCTCCTATCAGATTGTTAGTTTTCTACCAGGGACCTCTGTTTCTTTAACAAAAGCACTTAATCTTTTGAACTATCCAGAGCACAAAATTTAGAAGCTAAAATGAGGCATCCTGAGAAAGGTACACATTTCCAATTTGTTCGGCTTACATTCAGGTTGCATGCTACAGAAATTAGTTGTTACAATATGTAGCACATTTGTTCTGGGAATGTGCTTTCTAAGCCAATTTTTTTTTATTTTCCCTTTTCAGTCAGCACTGTAGTTGCTGTGCATCTTAGTTACACTAGCAAAGGAGAAAGAAGAAAAGAGTAATTTTGCAGTTCTGACCACCCAGCAAAATAGACAGCCTTACCACTTGTAACGGGTCTCTGAATCAGGTGGAGGTGGGCGGCTTCGGTGGGAGCATCAGGGACTCTTAATAAGAATGTAAAGGGTAAAGCAGTTCTCTCATGCTTTCCCAGGTTTGAAATGGACTTTCTGTAGACTATTACAGTTTTAGGAGATTGTTATTTGACTGACCACTCCCGAACCCCAGATGAAGGCCATCTGAGTTATAAGTGTGATAAAGGTTGTCACTGGGCATAGTTTGGAGGGAGATTTGACTGTGCCAGACAGATGTTTGTGCTTTTATGTTGGAGATGTGCTATGAGATGTTAATGATGCTGGTGCTAAGTTCCATCTTAGTTTGTATTATGCCTTTGTAAGCCCTTCCTGTTTTGATCTTTTGCAGGAGCCTGATACAGGGGCAGTTGTCAGGAATAGGCTGAGATTTGGAAGAGGGGTTTCATTACAGGAAGGCTCGGAAGTCTGCAGCATTTGGCTCCATCCAGCAGGTGACATTACTGGCCCCTGTCAGATCTTCCTCAACAGCGTAGTGAGCTGCACCAGGCAGTGGGCAGGGGTTGGTAGTTTTCCACAATCTTTTGATTCAGAGGACATCTACCTAATTAGATTTGGGACCTGTTGCTGATTAAAGCCAAATTATTGTTTTTTGACTACCGATGTACAGACAGCTGTCTAAAAACTGACTACTGCTGAGGTTGTTGAATTACTTGATTTGGGCTAACTTTACATCATGCAAACCGAATTCCTCCACTTGGTACTTGTATTTAAGAAAAGTACACTTTCGGGGCTGGAGTGCAACAGCACAGCAGGTAGGGCATTTGCCTTGCACGCGGCTGACCCCGGGTTCGATTCCCAGCATCCCATATGGTCCCCAGAGTAATTCCTGAGTGCATGGGCCATGAGTAACCCCTGTGCATTGCAGGGTGTGACCCCAAAAGAAAACAACAACAACAACAGAAAAAAAAACAAGAAATGCACACTTTCAAATTTTTGACGGATGGGGTTATCTGCTGCTTGGAGCTGAATCATGGAAGAAAGGATGTTGTTGGCTTAAAGCCGTATGACATCTTGGTGGAAAGAGCATTAGTTTACACAGAGTTCTGGTGAAGGCAGTTCAGGCTGGTTGTGTGCACACGACATACTAGCCCTGGTACTGTAAACCTTACCATGTGGGTTTTATTCTTTTTTTTTTTTTTTTCAGGCTCATGTTTCTTACTGCTTTGGCTTGAAGACAAGAGTTATGCCAAAGAAAGCGAAGCCTGCCAGGAACGGGGAGGAAGAGGGGCCTGTTCCCTGTAAGCAAGGGAAGTTAGAGGCCGCTCAGGCGCCTTCTACACTAAACTTTGAGAGCCCCACTGTTCTCTTTGAAAGTTTAATCTCACCCATCACCACGAAGACCTTCTTCAAGGAATTTTGGGAGCAGAAACCCCTTCTCATTCAGAGAGATGACCCTACAGTGGCCACATATTACCAGTCTCTGTTCAGGTTGTCGGACCTGAAGAGTCTCTGCGGTCGGGGCCTGTACTATGGAAGAGACATCAACGTCTGCCGGTGTGTTGGCGGGAAGAAGAAGGTTTTGAATAAAGACGGCAAAGTGCACTTTCTCCAGCTGAGAAAAGATTTTGATCAGAAAAGGGCGACGATTCAGTTTCACCAACCTCAGAGATTTAAGGTAACGGGTTGTCCCCTGACAGAATCTTCATATCTGCTGCAGCACTAGCATTTGGTCACAGGTTAGGTTAAGAGAGAAATTTATTTGTTTGTTAATGAGGATTAGCCTTCCACAAGTTTCAAAAGGGGTCCCACCTGTTTGGTCTTTAAATGCATCCCAAGTTAGCCGAGGCTATGATATCAACTTTGTCTAACCTGTTTTGAGAGTTTTCAATAACTGAGAATAGATCTATACAAGCCACACAACTTATTCGATTAGGAGTGTGCAACGTTTAGTAATGTAACACTACCATTCTAAAAAAAAAAAAAAGTTGTTCTTTTTTTTGTTTGTTTTGAAAGTGCTCGAGGCTGACCCCTGGATTTGTGCTCAGGTGTCACTCCAGGTGGGGATTTGGGGGATCATATGGAGTGCTGGGGATTGATCCCACATCAGCTGTGTGCAAGGAAAACTACCTGTGTGCCGAACTCTAACTGACCCCTGTGCTACTGCATTCAAAAGCGTATCCTGTAGTAGGCTGGTTTTTGCCTCGCTTTGTGGTTTATGTCTCGATGTTCTTTCTGTTTGCCTAGTCTTCCCACTATAATGGAAGGTAAGGTAGGCTCAACGCGATCATTGAGGGTTCTCTCCCTCTACTGCTTGCCTCTACCTCAGTGAAGGATTCTTGTCCTGCCCTTGGGAGACTGTCATAAGTGCAGCAAGCTTCACTATGTAATTTGGGAGACTGGTTGTTTTTAAATTTATTTTAAAATTGATTGACATTTGAGAAATAATTGCCTCCTCTGGGCTCATTTGTAAAAAATCAGGTTTTGTGTGTGTGTAAATTTTGCATGATACATGAGAAATAATTTGCCTCCTTTGTGCTCCTTTGTAAAATGTAGTTGGTTTTTATTTTTGTTGTGTTCTGTTCTGTAACGCTGCAGGCAGGATGAGTTAATATGCTTCCATAGAGGCTTGACATCTTTGCCTGACAAGTGGCCCAGAGCAGCCAAGGGCATGTTTAGATAAATTTTATCCCCGTTCTGGAAATTCCTCTGATGGTCCATGACTGAATCAGCTTGGCCATCTCTGGGGTTCCATGTGCATGTCAGTGGCCCCTGTGATTGCTGACCTGGCTCTTCTGCTCTGTGACTTGCCTTTGTTAAAGACAACTTCTTAGGCTTTACAGAGGTCCAGCTCAAAGTAAGATCTCTGGGCCCTGGCGGCCTAGATTTGAATCCTGCTGCCATCATTTATTAGCTGTGTGTTCTTGTACCTCAGTTTCCTCCTCTCTAGATGTAATACTGTAGCACTTGGCATAGGAAGGAGGGTTGTTGGAGGGTTATATAATTACATGTGAAGCACTAAGAAACTGCGCTGTACACAGAGGAAGTTTCTGTGGCCTCTCTCTGCCTCCTCATTCCTCAGCTGCTTTGGAAAAGTCGAGTTCATTCTCTCACAGGAATATATGGTTCCTCCAGGCTACTCAGTATGACTTTTCCCTAATGAGCTGTTTAATGAGTATTCCACTCTTATACTATTGCTTCTGCTTCTGTTACCTTTTTTGTGTGTAAGCTATTGTTGATTTGTAACATAAGGTACAAGACATACATTCTTATAATTCAACATGATATGCTACTGTATTAAGTTTTCAGCACTAAAATTTCTAATTCCTTTGTTTTCCATGCACCTGACTCCTGTTACCTAGTTTACCATCACTCTTCTCCCCTTCCCCTCTGGGAACTGTTAATTTGTTCTTAAAGACTTTTTTTGTTTTCTTTTAGTTCTTAATCACCTATGTGTTTTATAGATGCAGGTCTTAACGTTTGAGTCAAACTCATTTTAATAATTGTGTTAGATTTTTTCATTTCATTTCATCATCCTGTTAATCGTCGATTGCCTCGAGCAGGCCCCAGTAACATCTCTTTCATCCTAGCCCTGAGATTATATTCACGGCTCTTTAGGAGAATGAGACCCATCATTGTTACTGGTATTTGGCATATTTGGTACGCCACGGGGAGTTTGCCAGACTCTGCCCTGTGGGCAGGCTACATTTGATAGCCTGCAAGTTTGTCCAAAAACTTGTGTTAGATGTACATTGTGTTAGATGTAGTGGTCTAATTTCATTCTTTTTTCCTTACAGATTTGTAAAGATTTCCCAACACCATGTATTGAAAATACTTTACTTGCTATGTTATAGCTATATGCACTTAGCTCCTTTGTTATAAATTAGTTGTTTATATACCTGTAGGTTATTTCACAGTTCTCAATTCTGTTCTGTTGATCCGTGCGTGTTATTAAATACTATCCCTGGGAGTATAGTTTCAATCAGAAAGTGTGATGCCTCCACTTGGATTTTTCTCCCTTTTTGCTTTTTTGAGGTAGTTCTAGAAATTTCACTCGCTTTGTTTTTATTGTTATAATTCTGTGATGCATACCATTCGGGTTCTGATAGGGGTTACATTGAGTCTGCATTGTTTTAGGTAATGTAGCTCTTTTTAAAAAGTTAATTCTTTGAATCCTTTAAAAATAGGTTTATTTTTATTATTGTTGTTGTTATTATTATTTAATTCTTCCAATCCTTAAGCACCAAATACCTTTCATTTCTTTCTGTCTAAAACACAGTTTAGGGCCAGAGCGATAGTTCAGTGGGTAGGGCATTTGCCGTGCACGAGGCCGACCTGGGTTCAATCCTTGGCATCCCATATGGTCCCCTAAGCACCGCCAGAGGGAATTCTTGAGTGCAGAACCAGGAGTAACTCCTGAGCATTGCTGGGTGTTACCCAAAAAGCAAAAATAAATAAATAAAAAAACAGTTTAACAATTTGTACTTTTTGTGTACAGGTCTTTCTATTCCTTGGCTCACTTTATTACAAGTTTTTTAATTCTTTCTATTGTGTTTGTAAATGGGATTGTTTTCCTGGTTTCTCTTTTTGCTAGTTAATTATTTATATATAAAAATGCAACAATTTTTGTATATTAATTTTGTACCCTGCTACTTTGAGCTCGAGTGATAGCATAGTGGGTAGGGAGGCCTTGCATGCAGCCAACCCAGGTTCGATTCTTCTGCCCCTCTCGGAGAGCCTGGCAAGCTACCGCATGGCAAAGCTTGGCAAGCCCCCTGTGACTTATTCGATATGCTAAACACAGTAACAACAAGTCTCACAATGAAGACATTACTGGGCCTGCTCGAGAAAATCGATAAACAATGGGAAGACATTGCTACCCAGCTACTTTATTGTGTTAATTTTTTCTAATAGTCCTTTTTCCTGGAATCTTTAAGAGTTTTCTATGACTATTACCATGTCATTTACAAATAGTGATAGTTTTACTTTTTTTTTTTCCAATTTAGATAACGTTCATATTTATTTTTTGTCTTTTTGGCTTCTCATACTATTTGTAAATAACTTGACTGAGATTGAACATTTTCTGATTTCAGAGGAAAAGCTTTCAGGTTAGCTTAATTAAAATATTAGCTGGGTTTTCACAAATGACCTTTATTGTGTTGTGTTTTATTCCTTCTGTAGCTGTTTTTTTAGTGTTGTGTCATGAATTTTAAATCCTGTTAAAGCTATTTCTATCTCTCTTTTTTTTTGCTTTGTTTTGGGATCACACCTGATGGGGCTTAGGGGTTACTCCCAGCTCTGCACTCAGGAATCACTCCTGATGGGGCTTAGATGACCATATGTGGTGATGGGGATCAAACCCAGGTGGGCTTTGTGCAAAGCAAGCACTGGGTCTGCTGTACTATCTCTCCAACTCCCAACTAATTTTGTCTCTTGAGATGATCATAATGGCTTTTTCCTTTTTTGAATAATTTTTAATTATTTGCATATGTTAAGCCATCCTTGCAGTCCTGGAATAAATCACATAATCATAATATATGACTGTTTATTTTGGGGTGGGGGCAAATCAACTTGGCGTGGTGTAGGGGGTAGGGGTGTCAGTTCTAGTGGTGCTTGCGGACCATGATGTGCTGGAGTTGGAACCAACCCTTTTTGCCATTTCTTCAATTTCCCTGTAATTCTTTTAATGTGCGGTTGGATTCAGTTTGCTAATATTTTGTTGAGGATATTTACATTTTTGTTTGTTAGAGATCTTGGCTGTGGTTTTCTGTTGCTGTGATCCTGTTTGGTTTTGGAATCTTGATAATGCTGACTTCTTAAAATGTTATTTATGAGTGTTCCTGCTTTTCAGTTTTGGGGAACATTTTGGGGAGATGGTGTTTTTGTTTGTTTTTTTTTAAGTTTGGTAGCATTCAGTTAGTGAAGCTGTCTGGGCTTTTTTTGTTGAGGGAGGCTTTTGATTGCAGTGTCGGTATGTTGTGATTGATCTGCTTAGGTGTTCTGTTTCTTCCTGGTACAGTTTTAGAAAATTGTATGTTTCTAAGAACTGGTTTATTTATTCTAGATTTTCCAATTTGTGCTCTATGTTTATAATATTTTCTTTTCGTCCTTTGGTGTCTGTAGCATCTGGTGTAACTTCACAGTTATTTTAGATTCTATATGAATTTTTCTCTTCTACATGTGAATCTGACTGAAGGATGGCCTGTTTTGTGTATTTTTTCAGGAAGCCAGTTATTTGTGTCCATCATTAAGCTTTTGAATGGTCTTTTAAATCTCTCTTTTCTTCTGTACTAATTTTTAATGCTTATTTCTATTGACTTTTTTTGCATTTTATTTTAGTTTATTATTTTCTTCGCTTTACCGGATAAAACTGCATAGGTGGTCGTGCCAGAGCGCTAGCTATCCTGGGGCTGGAGCGATAGCACAGCAGTAGGGCGTTTGCCTTGCACGCAGCCAACATGGCCAACCCGAGTTTGATTCCTCCGCCCCTCTCGGAGAGCCCAGCAAGCTACCGAGAGTATTTCGCCCGCATGGCAGAGCCTGGCAAGCTCCCCGTGACGTATTCGATATGCCAAACACAGTAACAACAAAGTCTCCAATGGAGACGTTACTGGGCCCACTGGAGCAAATCGATGATCACCAGGAGGGCCTTTACTTTACTAGGGCCTTTACTTATTTTCTTAATTTTAATTTTTATTTTCCCTTTACACCTTGTATAAACACTGTGATTTACCAAATTGTTCATAATGATTTGTTACAGGCATTCACTATTGCAACACCAATCCCACCCTCATTACACCTTCCCTCCACCATTGTCTCCAATAGCACAGCGGGTAGGGCGTTCGCCTTACAAGCGGCCAACATGGCCGACCCCAGTTCGATTCCTCCGCCCCTCTCGGAGAGCCCGGCAAGCTACCGAGAGTATTCGATATGCCAGACACAGTAACAACAAAGTCTCTGATGGAGACGTTACTGGGCCCGCTCGAGCAAATCAACGATCAATGGGAGGGCCTTTACCTTTACCTTACCTTATCCCTTAAGCCTGCCTTCATCGAAGGCCCTCAATAATTTATTTTTTCCTGCTTGTTATCAATAATTTTCTAACAGAGTGATCAAAATATGTTTCCTTAGAAAAGTTAGTGGAGATTGCTGTATCTTACTTACCATGGAACCACTGAGTCCTTGTGTTTATATTTTCTTCACTGAGATTGGTTGCCTTCTACATTACATCTCATCCAATCTGGTGTGCTACTCCTGGCTTATCAGTATTGTAGAGCTTGAGATGTCACTTCAGAAATCCCAGAGTTTTTTAATGTGGTGATACTGTTGGAGTTAAATTTTTAATGGGGTTGCAGCTTTGGAACATGTGTGTGACTGCCAGTGCTTCTGGAACTACAGGGAGATGGCGGGAGGTGGCCCATCCCAGACTCCCTGAAAGCCTGGAGATTTCAGTCATGAAATCCGCTTACCTGAGTTATTCAGTGGATTAATTTCTGTGTGAGTCTCGTCGTGAGCATTAGGAGTCTGGCTAGGAGCATGGCAGTGATAGTGGAGAGTGGAAGTTTTCTACTGCTTGAACTCCGTTCGGGTGGGTGCTGGGCTCACCCACCCCTCGCCCCCCACCTAGATCCTTGGGGTGACTCAGCCTTGTGTGGGAAAAATCCGGAAAAATCTCTGCAACTTGTTGGTTCTCTTCTGAGATTTATATATGTGTCTCTGGATCATGGCTGGTGAATGAACAAACTTGGCATGGGAGGTGATTCGTTCTATTGACATTTGACTTCATTTTTTCTGTTTTCCCTTTAGGTGTAAGGGTAGATTATTTAAATTTTTATTTCGAGTCTTCTTGTATCCTGAGTATTGCTATAAACTTTTCTTATATTTCTTCCTGTTACTTCAAAGGTTCTGGTAACTCATTTCTTCAGTTGGTTCTTTTTAGTTTGATATCATTGTGATCTGAAAAGATGCTTGTCATGATTTTAGTCTTTGTAAATGATATTTTTTTGTGTCTGTGTCCCAGTACATGGTCTGCCCTTGAAAAGTTTTTAGGTGCTCTTGAGAAGAATATGTACTTGGTTGTTTGGAGGAGAAATGCTTGAGAAATATATCTATGTCTGTTTATTCTAGCGTATAACTTAAGGTTACTATTTTCCTTGTCTTTACTTTGTCTTTACTTTGCTGTAAGAAAAGTGTTAGAAGGAACTCCGGAGATGTGGCTCTGAGGTGAAGAGCACACCTTGTGTGCACATGTGTGAGACCCTGGGTTCATTCCCTAGCACCAAACAAAACAAAATGACAAAATGGTGAAGGTCTTGGCTGTTGTTTTGTCCCTTTGTTAATTGTACAGGTGCATTGTACATTGCATTGTACACATTAGTACTCTGATGTTCAGTGCATGTTGGGTTTTCCTGGCCATTCCTTTATCATTATATAACACCTTGTTTTCTTGTTACTATTTCTTTGCTAAAGTTGAAGTCTGTTTTGTCTAATTTGGGTATAACAGTTTGTACTTTGGGAATTTTCCACTGACTTGGAGTACTGTTTCCCACCCCTGCACTTTCTTGTATTTATTTACTTTTTAAAATGGATTTACTTTTTTTTTTTTTTTTGCTTTTTTTTTTTGCGGGGCGGGGAGTTACATCCAGCGATGCTCAGGGGTTCCTCCTGGCTCTGCACTCAGGAGTCACTCCTGGTGGTGCTCAGGGGACCTTATGGGTTACCAGGAATTGAACCCGGGTCGGACACGTGCAAGGCAAATGCCCTACCTGCTGTACTATCACTCCGGCCCCTTACATTTTTTTTTAAACAGAGATTAAGCATTGGGGTGTTGGCTTCAAGGGTGATCCTATCAATGATTGGGTGACAAGAATGGGCATCTGAATAAAGGGTAGAAATTAGAAAAGCATTTATTTTCTCCTTAGATTTCTTTAGTTAGTGCTCCTCAGATGCATGTAAGAAAGAATTTATATCAACAACATCCAATGCAGGGTAAAACCCCTACCTGATGTCTCAGTTATTAGCATGGCAATTCGTCACAGGGGCTCCCACCCCTTCACTTTAATTCTGTCTTTGTAACTTAAGTTAGTCCCCTATTGGCTTCAGATGTTTCAGTTTTATTTTCCTCATCCTTACAGCAATTCTGTGCCTTTTAATTGGTGAGGTTAGTGCATTTACAATACATATTATTGATGTAAGAGAGCTTGCTACTACCATTTAATCTTTAGTTCTGTGATTCCTTGCTTGTTTCTTTTCTTAGCTTTTTTTTTTTTTCAATTTAGATTTTAAAAAACCTTCCCGAACAGTTTTTGTAAGGTTCTTGTGCAGGTAAATTTATCTGGCTTTTGTTTGTTAGTGAAAGCATTTATAAAGCATTTATTGCCTTTAAATACAAATATTGTTTTGCAGGATAGAGTTTTCACTGCTGGCAGGTTTTTATATGCAAAACAACCTTTATATTTGAGGGGGCAGATTGAACCAAGGTCACTGTGTGCAAGGCAAGCCTCTTAACCCCTGTGTTATATCTCTCTGGCCGCATCTACCACCTACCACCTTTTGAATCCTTCCTTCCTTCTTCCTCCCTCCCTCCCTCTTTTTTTCCTTCCCTTCCTCCCACCCTTTCTTTCTCCTTCTCCTCTTCTATTTTTCCTCCTCCTCCTCCTCCTTCTCCTCCTTATCTTCCTCTTCATCATCATCTTCTTTTTTTTTTTTTGGGTAAAGTCTAGACCAACAACTCAGGATTTTAGCTATTGGTCTTAACATTTCCAGCAGGTGGTCCTATGACTTTGCTCTTTTTTGTTGTTGTTGTTACTGTTGGCCATGTAGGTGCCACAGACACCCACAGTTGCTGTGGAGGTGCTGGTGGAATGTGGTTTGTGTGGCCTTTGCTCTCCTGCCACCTTGGGGTCCAGATCTGAGATTCATCTGTCAACTCATGGTCCGCTGTGCAGCCCGTGGGGATCCCGAGAGCTGGGCCAGTATGGTCCAGGGGCCTTCTCCTTTCCGGGGTTCCTCACCTGTTTCTATGTCCCTTCCAGGGAAATCTGTGGGTCTCGTCAGTAGAGGCTGCTGTGGTGGTATCCCCACCTCTCTCAAGTCTTATTTATTTATTTATTTATTTATTTATTTATTTATTTGGTCACACTTGGCAGTGCACAGGGGTTCCTCCTGACTCATGCACTCAGGAATTACTTCTGGTGGTGCTCAGAGACCATATGGGATGCTGGGAATCGAACCCGGGTTGGTTGCATGCAAGGCAAACACCGAACCCTCCATGGTGTTGCTCCAGCCCCACTCCCAGGTCTTGCATAGTTTCTGCAACCCCATGGTTATGTTACTCTCTTCCTGTGGCTTTACATATCAGTTTCCCTCAAGGTAGTTCCCAAAGAAAAATCTCTTAAGCTCCTTGCCAGACATGAGAAAAAGCAAGTTGGAAGTAAGCTGAGAAACATCTCTACCGGGGCCTCTGAACCGCTCAGACTTGGCACTGCTGATGCAGACCTGGTCATTTTCTCTTGAAAGCTTGTTCTGCAGCAAGTTTCTCCCACTCTCTGAATTAGAAGCCCACCATTTAGATCCTTTTAAACTGTAACCGTTGCTCGCTCTCCATCTTCTTCTCTCCTCTCTTCCCCATCCCTTCCTCTCCCTTCTCTCTATCACTCTCTTACTTTTTCTAGAACCCATTCTTTGCAGCCTGAGTGAGCTTTGTAAATAGTAATAGGATCTCGTTCTGAACGTTTCTTTCAGTGATTGCCCTCCTCACCTGCTTTAGCCACTCATGTCGCTTCTGTAATGTTCTGCTCTTTTTTTTTTTTCTTTCTTTTTGGGTCACACTCAGTGATGCTCAGGTGTAACTCCTGGCTCTGCACTCAGGAATTACTCCTGGCAATACTCAGGGGTCCATATGGGATGCTGGAGATTGAACCTAGGTTGGTCACGTGCAAGGCAAACGCCCTACCCGCTGGACTATTGCTCCAGCCCCTGTAATGTTCTGCTCGAAAATGAAGGGTCCCCGAGTTCATCAGTGTTGTCTCTCTCACTGGTTTTCCACTCTGGCCTGTGCTAACTGAGTCATAAAGATCTGCACAATGAAGAATGAATTGTTTTCCCTCTGGTTTCTAATAGACCTTCTCCTCTATTTCATTTTATTTTCTTAGGATGAACTCTGGAGGATCCAGGAGAGGCTGGAATGCTACTTTGGCTCCTTGGTTGGCTCGAATGTGTACATCACCCCTGGGGGTTCTCAGGGCCTGCCGCCCCATTATGATGATGTGGAGGTAAGAGAGAGGAGAATGGTTCAACTCTAGGGCCAAGGCACTCTGGGGAGCCTGGTTTGTGGAGTTAACTTGCTTCAGGTCAGCCCCTGCGCCTGATCTCTGTTCTTCCCTGTGAGGTCTCTGAAGAGCTTGACCTCACCTGGGTGTGGAGCCAAACTGATTTCTTTTTTCCCTCCACCTGCAAGGGAAAGATTGCTTCCCACCTCTTTAACGAAGAATAAATATCTGTGAAATAGGCATTTATTGGGCTTCACTATCAAAATTTTATTTCGCTTTTCCTTTTATGTTACTGTGCAGAGCCTTTAGGGGAGACCCCAAGTCATTCTTCCAGCTGCTTTCATTTTGTCCTCGATTGCTGCCAGAAATATATTTTGTTTTTCCATTTTTGAATGAAGATCATGATTCCACTACACTCTGGCACCTTGACAAGTGTTGATTTCACTGTCACGTGACTGCCCCCAAAGTTAACTTTCTGACTTTAGTATTATTTTTGTACTAAGGCAAAGTGTGAATTCTAATATAGAATCATTAGCACATAGCATGTTTCTTTCTGGTCGAGAGCCATCTGATGTCAGTATTGTTTGTTTTCAAGTGTAGATTAAAATACGTTAAATTTTCTTTGAATGAAGAATAAAAAAGAAAAAAAAACTACAAGTTTTTCTCACTGCCAAGGATGACATTCAGGATTTTAGGCATTGCATAATATCTGAAGCTTGGCTTTTCCATGAGAGATTGTGGACTTGCAGCTGTTGGATAGAAGATATGAAGAAATGGGATATTAGAAGATACACTGTGGGATATTAAAACAAAAACAACTCAGCACAGCTTCCTGAAATTGACAAGGATGAATGCCTTTCCAACATCGGGGTGCATAGTGACCTGATTTGAATAGTGAAATCCAATGGTATCAGCTTTTTAATTGAGTGCAGAGTAAAATGGATTGACCTGAAACCTGCATTTCTCTGTAAGCCCTGGAGTGTCTCCTATTCCACAAGCATGGTGCGGAAGTTGCCCAGCACTTGGGTTCTGTCGCTTCTTGGCAGGTCTTCGTGCTGCAGCTGGAGGGTGAGAAGCGCTGGCGACTGTACCGGCCCACTGTGCCGCTAGCCCGGGAGTACTGCGTGGAGGCTGAAGACAGGATTGGGCAGCCGGTGCTCGAGGTCACCCTGAAGGTATGGGGCTGCTGCTGCGGGGGCCTCAGGGATGGGCGAAGGGTGTGGTTTCTTCGCAGGAAGAATGACACTGACTTTCCAGCTTCCCGGTGGTCCGGATAAGCCGCAGTCAATCCCACACATTCTGTAGCCTCCTGCTTCTCTGCTGCGAAAAGTGGCAGGTTTGCGGTGGGCAGCCCCTGGGTGTCTGTGACTGCGGGTAGGGCTGGGCTGCAAGTGCATGCGCAGAGCTCAGCTGCGGACCCACTTTGTTTTGTTGTTGGTAAAATTCCAGGACCCATACTTGTTCTCAAGCAGGACAAAAATGCAGCAGACCCTGTCTGCAGTCTCCTGCTCTCCCCTGCACATTGTCTTCGCCAGGGCTTGAACTGTGAAAGGTCCAAGTCCTCCTGCAGAGCCCCGGCGGCTTAGCCCTGTGCTGGGTGGCTGGTGTCTGAACGCAGAGGAAGTCGGGCTCTTAGCCTGGATTGGGTCAGAGTCAGTTGGCCACAGCTCAGGGAGTTCAATATTAGAAGATTAAGAATCATTTTCTTTTCTTTCTTTTTTATTTGCTTTTTGGGTCACACCCGGTGATGCACAGGGGTTACTTCTGGTTCATGCACTCAGGAGTTACTCCAGGCGGTGCTCAGGGGACCATATGGGATGCTGGGAATTGAACCTGAGTTTGCTGCGTGCAAGGCAAACGTTCTACCCGCTGTGCTATCACTCCAACCCCAAGATCATTTTCTAATTAAACTTTTTTTTCTAAAAATTGTTTTTGTTTTTTTTAGTAACACTGTCATAGTTTATTGGAACCCGTTCAAAGATGTTACCAACCAGATATACTTACATATAGTTATTGATTTTCTTGGGTTTTGAAGTTTTAATTAACTCCCAATTCTTATTCAGTGTCTTGTTTCCCTTTCTTGATTTTAAAATCTTTGCCTCTCTGCCAGGAACTGAGGAAAACAGTCTCCCTTTTTATAAGGATGCTTATATCTGAGGAATTGTAAACAAATAAAATGCATAGGAAGAATTTTTTTTAAAAAAAGCAGTAAAGGAGCCCCTGGTCATTGTCTGCTCTTGGTCAATAGTCAGCAGACTGCACAGACCAAAAAACTCTGGCCCATTGCCTTGCCTGTTTTGTAAATGAGGTTTATTGGAGCAGTCACACCTTTCCCTTGTGTACTGTCGAGGACTGCGTTCACATTCCACTGGGAAAGTTGTCTAGTTGCCTTAGAGACCATAAATAGTAACTAGCTGGCTTTTTATAGAAAGTTTGCCAACCCCAGCACTTGGAGAAGCTCACTAATTTAGGCTCCCGGTTGATTATTATTAGACCAGAGACTAAGGCACCCATGATCTCTGCTAGGTCTGAGGTGCTGGCCATATGAAGGCCACAGTCATCGTAGTGACGTGTGTGGACGCAGGAAATGAAGCAATGCGCAGTGATTGCATCTGTCAATTCATTAAGAGGTGGATCCAGAAAGCACTATGCAGCCCAGAATTTCTCAAGTTGTAAAGTGGTAGGCCCGTGGGTTTTTAATCACGGAATTGTTTCAGATGGAGTCCTGTGTCAGATGATGGCATGACACTGAGCCAGGAGCGCAGAGTCACTTGGCGTTGGGAGTGTGTGGTGTGAGGCTGCAGCTTCAGCACTGACCTTCTCCCAGCTCCATTGGCACTTTGCATGATGTGTCTGCCAGATGCAGCCTCTTGGGGTGAAGATTACCCGCGAGACTGTCGTGAGCTAGACCACTCTGACTGGGGTGAGAGCTGCTCTCAGTGAACAAAGGAACATCAGGCATGGAAACCCTCTCCAGGACTGGGGTTCTCCTGACAGGCCATGGAAATAGATGAGCTGGATGTCCCAGGAGCCCAGCAGGCATGCAGCCCCTGGGATCACCCAGAAACACTTTCTTTCTTTTATTTTTTTGCTGTTTGGGTCACCCCCTGCAATGCACAGGGGTTATTCTTGGCTCATGCACTCAGGAATTATTCCTGGCGGTGTTCAGGGGACCATATGGGATGCTGGGAATCGAACCTGGGTCAGCCGCGTGCAAGGCAAACGCCCTACCCATGTGCTATACCTCCAGCCCCAAGAGAGGCACTTTCTAGAAGAAGGAAACCCAGAACCTACAACTGTCTCCCTGACACAGTGAGAAGACACTAACTCCCTTTCCCCTTCCTTTGACTTCTTTAGCCAGGTGACTTGCTGTACTTTCCCAGAGGGACCATTCATCAGGCGGACACACCTCCAGGGCTGGCCCACTCCACTCACCTGACCATCAGCACCTATCAGAACAAGTAAGCACTCTGCCTCCTGTCTGCCAGCCCTGTGCGGCTGCCTGGTGAGAAGGCATGGCCACCGACCGCCCCCTATTGGAGGGATTCCTATCCTGTTCATCTAGTGTGGGACTTCAGGCTCCCTTGCTGGCTTTCTGTTCCTTTAGTAGTGCCATTAGGGATTGTCCTGACTGCGCTGCTCTTAAGAATTGTCCTTCGTCTGACCAGAGGACACTGGGAGTTGCCCAAATAGAGTTGAGTAAGAACAGTCACTGCGGGGGTATCTGTGCGTCAGTGATGCCAAATTGGACTTTCAATTTCTCTTTTTATAATTTTTTTTTTTTAGATAGAGCACAAAGTGGACCATTTCAATCTTTATTTCTTTTCTTTGGATTTCTGGGCCTCACCTGGCGGTACTTGAGGACCAGGTGGTGTCTGGGATCAAACCCAGGACTCATTGCGTGCAAAGCGTGTGCTCCAGCACTTTCAGCAATCCCCTGAGTCCTCTTTTAACCGTTCTGAAATCATCTCAGTGACATTTATTGCACCACACTCCAGTGCATACTGCTGCATCTCCAAAATTCTTCTGGACAGAAACTTTGTAACTCTGTTGAAACAGAAACTGTGTGTATGTGTGTGTGTGTGTGTGTGTGTGTTTATTGAAACATCTTCATTTCTTTGAGGGTGTGTATTTGTGTGTGTGTGTGTGTGTGTGTGTGTGTGTGTGTGTGGTGGAGGGGAATTCCAGGTGGTGCTCAGGAGACCTGTGTGTGTGTGTGTGTGTGTGTGTGTGTGTGTGTGTGTCTGTGTTGGAGGGGGATTCCAAGTGGTGCTCAGGAGGCCCGGTGTGTGTGTGTGTGTGTGTGTCTGTGTCTGTGTCTGTGTTGGAGGGGGATTCCAAGTGGTGCTCAGGAGGCCCAGTGTGTGTGTGTGTGTGTGTGTGTGTGTGTGTGTGTGTGTGTTGGAGGATTGCAAGTGGTGCTCAGGAGGCCCGGAATGTGTGTGTGTGTGTTTATTGAAACATCTTCATTTCTTTGAGGGTGTGTATTTGTGTGTGTGTGTGTGTGTGTGTGTGTGTGGTGGAGGGGAATTCCAGGTGGTGCTCAGGAGACCTGTGTGTGTGTGTGTGTGTGTGTGTGTGGTGGAGGGGAATTCCAGGTGGTGCTCAGGAGACCTGTGTGTGTGTGTCTGTGTGTGTGTGTGTGTGTGTGTGTGTGTCTGTGTTGGAGGGGGATTCCAAGTGGTGCTCAGGAGGCCCGGTGTGTGTGTGTGTGTGTGTGTGTGTGTGTGTGTGCGCGCGTGTGCGTGCATTGGAGGGGGATTCCAAGTGGTGCTCAGGAGTCCCGGGCCCCCTTCTGCTGATTCTCAGCCAGCCAGGCCAGCAGTCCACTGCAAGGTCTGGAGGATGTGATGCAGCGTGGACCCTGCAGTGTCAGGATACCTGGGCTGCATTGGCCTTGTCCAGGCTACCACATGGTGTGGGCACTGAACCAGGGCCGAGTGCATGCCAGGCAAGTGTCCTCACTGCTGTACTCTCTCCTGACCATTGGATTACCACTGTGTATTGTTGATGAGTTTAGAAGTAGAAAAGGCAGTTTTGGGATAGCGTGACCTGGAGGCGCACATGCTGAAAGTTTGAGGGAGCATCATGATTCATGTCAGTGGGAGAGGGGAGGCTGGTAAGGAAATTGTTCCTGAGCTGTGCAGTCTGTCTTGTCATGGTTTGCAGTGGGCCCTGAGCATGGAGGAATGCACTTAGCTAAGTGGGGCTTCAGCTTCCTGGAAGGCTTCCGAAATGATCTGACACCCAAGCTGAGTAAGACTTGCATAAGTGGAGAGGGTGATTAGGAGTCCACATAGAGGAGGACATTGTTGTCCCAAGGGGCTTTTTGTACCTCAGACCTTCAAAGTTAGTTCATAGTCTGCTTCCTCTCCTGTTCTTTTCCATGTGAAAGTCACCTGTTTGGTTATTTTTTTTTAATTTTTTTTTGTATTTTGGTTGGTTTTGGTTTTGGGGCCACACCCAGTGGTGCTCTGGCCTACCCCTGGTTCTCTGCTTGGGGGTCACTCCTGGTGGTGCTTGGGTAACAGTATGCAGTGTTGATCTGAGTGAGAATCCAGCCAGGGTTGGCCATGTGCAAGGCTATGATTTCTCTCCAGGGACCCAACATTGGCTCCTCTTAAGCCATCTTCATTCAGTTACTTCTCTGCACTTCCTTCTTTCATTGAACTTTTGCTTCTGTTTAAATCCCTGCTGACTATTTACTGATCCAACGAGTGAGCGTCCGGGAGATGGCAGGGGCAGGGCTGTGGGCGAGCTTTATGACACATGTCGGGCCAACTCTCACCTGTTCACTATTGGGATGCTAGAATGGGGTGCTTGTGGCACAGGGAACATTGGTCCCTACAGGTGTGTGTGTGTGTGTGTGTGTGTGTGTGTGTGTGTGTGTGTGTGCCCTGGGCCTGCAGCTGCCCCTGAAGGTCCACAGACTGGTGAGGATCCAGGGCCTCTTTCTAACCCCTCGCACTCATTACAACAGTTGGGACATCCTTGGGGGTCCAGCAGCAAGTTGTTTTGGCTATTTTACCAAAGTGAACCCACTCCCCCCAAGACATAATACTCCCAAGTGTTATAGATCTCCAGGATCCATTCTGACACTTAACAGAGCACAGAGCTCTGAGCAAATTCCTCATAATCTGGGTTTTCTGACTTCCAGGCAGGCTTCTTAGATATGGTTGAAAGAGTAGCCTGTGTCCTCCAGGCTCAAGTTCAGTCAAAGGTGTGAGGCTGACTTGTCTCCTTGAATCGTAACACGAGGAGGCTGCCAGGTAAGTTGTCATTGTCTTGGGGACAGTGTCCTTTGGCTTTTGTCTTCCTTTGCCGCTCTTCTAGGCAGGAAGCATAAAAATGTTCATTTTGGTCACTGAGAAGTTGTTGGCATACTGCGGGTTTCCCATAGCAGTGGCTTGCAATCTGAGATCCATGGGTGCATCAGGAAAATTTGAAAAGTTTTGAGAGCATCTCCATAAGGTGTCTCTTCACACTGGCACCGTTTAGGAGTGAGCCAGTTCTGAGAGCCCCAGAATAACACTGATGCTCAGCCCAAGTTTTTATTTTAGGCCACTGAATCTACCCCATGCAGTAAAACCATTGCTCAAGTTTAATAGGTTGCAAAATTGGTTGCCTTGGAACTGATGTTGGATATGAGATGTGGTTATGCTCCCTGCCCCACAATTATTTATTGTAAGTCAAAAAAGAGATTTATGTTTAACTGTTCAGGTAATTAGTCTTTTTTCCTTTGATCGCTTTTGTATTTTTTGCACATCAATTTTTTTTTTTTTAGGTTTAAAGATTGTTAAAATTTCCACAAAGCTCTGACTTTAGTTCCACTTGTTAGTAGAACTAAAAACATTTGAAAATTGTTTGGTCAAGCACCATACTTTTTTTTTTTTTAATAGTACTTGGGTATCTTTATACTTGAGAAACCATGAATAAAGTCTAGCCTCCTACCACATGAGGATCTGGGAATGGGAAGGGACGGAAACACTGCGATTAGAGGATGTTTTTATGCTGAATAATGGCAAATTAATTGAAGCCCCAATGCCCAGGCAGAATTGGAATGCAGGTAATAGGTTTGGTCTGACTGTCATCAGGATTTTGTGTACCTTTCCTCTGTATTCAGGGCTTGCTTTCTCGGTTTATGTTTCAGTTCATGGGGAGATTTTCTTTTGGACACCATTTCGGGGATCGTGTTTGAAACTGCAAAGGAAGACGTGGAGCTGCGGGCTGGGGTACCACGGCAGCTTCTCCTGGTAGGAGGAGGAAAGCCGGGAGGCTAGTGGAGGTGGCTACAGCTGGGCTTCCGGAGACAGGGACACCCCCCTCCCCCCCAGGGACCCTTCTGCTCCATGAACTGAGTTTTGTGCTGCCCCCCGAGACTCTGGCGGCTTGCAGCAGGAGTGCCATGGTGAGCCAGAGAACACCTCTGTACTCTGTAGTGGCAGAAGCCAGCACTCAGGATACATTGGCTTCATATATGTTCCCGGCTGCATGGCACACACACAGTTACTAGTTAGTGGAGACCCAACAGTAGAGAATGGCACTGATGTTTCCCTGACTTTACCGGCCATTCTCTTCTTACCTTCAAAGCAGTTAGAAGTACTTGGACATCCGGGGAAGATGAGTGAATTCAGGCTGAGTTGAATAAAGGTTGCTCTCACTGTTGGAACAATCACCTAGGCACAAGGGGACTTAGTTTCCAAAAGGCGGGGCCAGGACCACACCATATTTTCAGCCTGGCCATACAAGCTGACAGTGTGGAGCTCAGGGGCCACCCGGGCTACCACTGCACAGTATTAGTGCGTGCTTCAGACGGTTTTTATTTGGGAAGAGTTTGGGAGGCTGTGTGGTGGTGGTTCCAGTCTCACTCCCAGCAGTGCTCAGAGAAATGTGCTGGGGATGTAGCTAGCGTCTGAGCAAGGCAGTCCCTTACCCCGCATTCTCACCCATTCTCTGGGCATGGGGAGCAACAGATCAGCATTTTCACTTGGCTGTTGCTGTTCAGTTTATTCTGGGGAAACTGGGGTGTGAGCTGCAAGTTCTGCTGCCGTCTGGGACAGGATTGATGACTGTGTTTGTAGCAGGCAGAAACTACAACTGCTGAAACGAAAAGACTGAGTGACTTACTGAGGACTCTTGCTGATCGGCTGGAGGGCACCCAAGAACTGCTTTCAGCAGACATGAAGAAGGATTTCATTATGAACCGACTCCCACCTTTCTACATAGGAGATGGAGCGGAACTTTCAACTCCAGGTGAGGCTGTCTTCTTCTTGTTGTCGTCTTCTACGTGGTCAGGGGCTATGCGATATGGCCAGTTTTGAGGCTTTCCTGAGTTGGTTTCTCATTAAGCAGATGGAAATTGCAAAGCAATTTAGAATCTTATGTGGACTTAGATCTCGCTTTAGTCTTTTTCAGTTGGATTAAAACATGCTTCACACAACCATTAGTATCCTGCCTGTCTGAGTCATCTGCAGAGCACTTGAATTCTAGAAAGGTGGAAAAGAAGAGCCCTGTGGTTGGGGGTTGTAGGAATGTTTTTATAGGCACTTTGTTCATTAGGAATTTTAAAGAACTTGAATATAAAAATACTATACAAAAAATAATTTTGTTGGAATTAACTCGGGTGGGTAAACGTCTGCAGGAGTTTGTAAAAAACAATGTACCACCCACCTACCCCAAGCCGCAGGTGACTAATATGTGACAGGTTTAGGCTGTGCTGTGAGTGATGCATTTCTGAATGGATGGTGCTGTCAGCTCCTACAGTCCACCGAGACCATGTTCCTGCAATAACTGGCATTATTGACTTGCTGCAGTGTGGAAATACCACACAACATAGCATCTCAGTAGAAAAGTAGAGTGGTTTACAAGATTTGAGTTTTGAGTTAGGTGCTTTGCAGGAGGCCTCAAGTGGGGGTTTGCTGTGGATTGGATACAGTCAGGAAGCAGGAGGGATTCCATGATTGGGTCTCCTGTAAATCCGACCTAGTAAGTCAGAGGACCCAAATGAGGCGAAACTTATCATTAACAAAGCAGTGGCAGTCACTCGGCTTAACTGAGATAAAGGGATATTTGATCTTTTAAAAAAAATTTCAAGTAACATTCTTTTGACCTGAGTTCTGATAAGACAGAGTGATTTTATTTTTGTCTTCATTTCTCACAGAAACAAAGGGGCCTCATTTCAGTGTGTTCTATTGAATTGTTTATGAGTTAAACAGGAGAACAAACCAAGACTCGGTTTACGAGTGCCTGCTCTTGGGCTGCTTGTAGTGTGGAGTGAGAGTTTTTGTGGGCTTTTCTTTTGCTGACTTTTATAACAGCTTTTTATTTTGGAGTCATACCTAGCAGTGCTGAGGGCTTTCTCCTAGCTCTGTGTTCAGGAGTCACCCCTGGTGTTGCCCAGGGAACTGTAAGCATTGTTGGGGATTTAAACAGGGTCGGCAGTGTATAAAGCGAGTTTATACACTCTCGACCCAGAGCCCAGTCACTATTTAAGAACTACTGAAATGACTCATCTGTAAGGTCATTCCCAACACTTCTTCCATCGACGCTTTTATTATACTCTTGAGAGGAACTTCTGATTTCATCTATTTAAAATAGCATTTTTTTACCAGCACAGATTTAATCTTTAGCAGATTAGTTTTCTAAGGATCAGCTTATGGCCCAGAACAGCTTAGCCAGTATATCCTTGCCTTAGCCATTATTGTCAATATTAATTACAATCCTTTAGGATTCTTTCCTACCAGAAACCCTGTTAATTCTGTTTCAGTGGCTTTTTCCAGTAAGTTAAATCCAGTATGGAAATAGTGGGTGGTGGTCTTTTTTTTTCCCTTTCCTGCAAACCTTAGAAGGTGGTTTTTGTCTTACACGCCAAGCTTGCTTGAGAGGGAAGCTGCCATGGTTGTGGATGGAGCCTTGGGTGGGGTGAAGCCAGGTGAGCTCGGTGTGTTCTGGTGCCCACCTGTCAAGCAAGCAGCAGCAGTGCAGTGTGGCTGTGTGGCATAAAGGCTGTCGTGCCATGATGGTGCCGCTTCTTCCTCTGGTTACGTGTGTCTTCATGTTAAAGATGTTATCCCTATCTGAAAGTGACCACAAACGTTGGGTAAAGCAAATAACTGAAGAGGGCATCCGGCCTGCATTGTCAGGAGCATGCCAACAGTCTGAGCTTGCTTGTTTTCTCACCTGAAGGTGTTGTGCTCTGGTCCTTTTAGGTGGACAGTTGCCAAGGCTAGATAGTACAGTGAGACTGCGGTTTCAAGACCACGCCATCCTCACCGTGGGGCCAGATCAGGAGCGTTCGGTGAGTACCGAAGGGGGAAACTACTTCCCTGCTCAGGTGTTTCCCTCACAGTGCTTGGATTGCCACACCCAGAAATGGCCCCTACCCTTCTGCGTTGGGAATCCATCTGGCCTCACAGCTTAATGTCAGGACTTTAGATCAGATAATGCCACATCTCACTGTTTCAGTTTTTCCTGCCTTTTGACAGTCCTCCCTCTCATTTACTGATGAACGTCTGTTCTTTGCTTCCCATCCTTCTCAGACCGCTCTGCCCTTTGGAGATAACTATAGACCCTTTGTGTGTGTTTCCCATCTCAGTTCCTACCCCACCGTCCCTTCTTGCACTGTAGAGATCTCTTTAATATGTGGATTTAGTGGCACTGCTTTTAAAGTCTATATGAAGAAGAAATCTATGTAGATGAAGAAATCTGTTAGTAATTTTGCAACCTAGCCCAGCAGTTTTCCAAATTGGCTAACTGATTTTAGAATCTATAGGAAAACTTTTTGAAATGATTAATTCTTGGGCTTCATCTCATCTGGATAGCAACTTTTTTATTGTTGTTTTGTTTTGGTTTTTGGGTCACACCTGGCGATGCACAGGGGTTACTCCTGGCGGTGCTTGGGGAACCATATGGAATGCTGGGAATCAAACTCAGGTCGGCCATGTGCAAGGCAAATGCTCTACCTGCTGTGCTATTGCCTCCAGCCCCAATTCTCCATTTTTTAATTAAAATTTCCATCGGTGATGGCACACGTATAGCATACACTGACCTAAGATCAGTTTGTGGCACTATTAGGTCCCTTGAACATCACCAGGTATGGCCTGTAATCCTCACACCTCATTGCATTGAACTGCTTGTGGGACCTGTTTGGAGGGTTGTAAAAGCTTACCTTTTCATTGTAACCAGCTTTCTTGGGATTTTATATCGAAATATAATAAGTGTATTTATTATTATGTGTATTTCAGGGGACTGGAGCGATAGCACAGCGGGTAGGGAGTCTGCCTTGCACGCAGCCAACATGGCGAACCTGAGTTCGATACCTCCGCCCCTCTCGGAGAGCCCGGCAAGCTACCGAGAGTATCTCGCCCACACGGCAAAGCCTGGCAAGCTACCCGTGACGTGTTCGATATGCCAAATACAGTAACAACAAGTCTCATGATGGAGACGTTACTGGGCCTGCTCGAGAAAATCGATGAACAACAGGAGGACAGTGACAGTTATGTGTATTTCAATATCAATATGTATTTCATGAATAATGGGGCAGGAGTATGAGAATTGGGAACATTCAGATGTCTCCACAGTCAAATTATTAGAATCATTAGGGCCAGACATACTTTTCTATAGTACTTCATAAAAAAAAAAAAAATTCTGGATATCTTTTCCTTTCAGGCCAAGGTAGCAATCTTCTCTAGGATTTGAGAAGGTATGACATAAGGTTTAAGAAGACACACTCAAATTCACAGTGTAGGATGGAGAGGGATTAGAAATTTTTTATAGATCACATAGCTGGCATTTCCCCAAGAGTTAATATTTACCCATGGTATAAATTGCCAAAGTTTTTATCTCTTGCTAGAGATTGCAGATCCTGGGGTCCCACACAGTGAAGCTTCCAGAACCAAGTGTTTGATCCCATCCTTGCTTGCAGGCTTGCTTTCAGCCACTTACCCATTTCCTCTACTTGGTCATGTCCCCTGTTTTTTGACTGCGAGAAAGATCCCTGTGTGCAGGTATGAATAAATGAGGACGCTTGAATGCCTTAAGTTGATACATAAACTTCCTTTTTCATTAAATCAGGTTTCTGAAGGATGATGTTTTATCATTTAAAAAATGCATTATATTATGGAAAGAAGCAATAATCTGTGGACCCTTTTGCCAGTAGGATTCTTTATAAATATTTAATATTAAAGTTTACATACGCACCAGGCCATTAAACATTTTCATGGTGGTGACCTGTTTTTTTGTAAATCCCTACCTAGTGTCAAAGCTTCAATATTTAGTTGTTGACTTAATACTTTGTTTTAAAGGATGAAATGCGAGAGAAGATGGCTTATATTTATCATTCCTTAAAGAACAGGAGAGACACACACATGATGGGAAATGAAGAAACGGAGGTTTGTTCCATCTTAAAATGAATCACAGAATCGGTTACCTCTGATTTGTCACTAATAATTCTTTTTTTCTGTCTGGAGTGTGAACTTAACCATCTCACACAACTGATGGGGCCTACTCTTGTAGGCAATGATATGTAATGTGAAATATTTCACACTAATAAATTGTCGTTCATGAAGTGACACTTCCTTTTCAGAAGTTACCTAATTAGTTTATGTAAATTTCTTACTTCAAATTAGGCGAAGAACATTGATAATTGTATAAGTTTATGGAAAAATAACAATGGCCAAGTGCAGGCTTGTTTGACTGTGCTAAACAGTCTGTCTTTTTTTTTTTTTTCCAGGCTCACGGGCTTCGTTTTCCTTTATCACATGTGGAAGCACTAAAGCAGATCTGGAACTGTTCAGTTATTTCTGTCAAAGACTTAAAACTTCCCACGGATGAGGAAAAGGAAAACTTAGTATTATCTCTCTGGTCAGAATGTTTAATCCAAGTAGTCTAGTGCTTTTGCTGAATCAAGGCTCAACTATTTCATGTATCCATTTGAAAATAAAGATTTATGTTCCACTACCTATTGTTGTCATGGTCATATGGACTAGATATCCCCACTGTCACAAAACTAAGTTTGACCGTTTATTTACTCCAGTGTGGTAAAAAAGGCACAACTGCAACAAATGTATCATTTAACCTGAAAAGTCCTTTCCTGGCTTTGTGAGAAAAACTACAAATTTTTTAACAAACAATGAACAAGAAAAAAATTTTTAACTTTTTTTTTACAATGAAAATATACATATCCATATCTTTGTGTATACACATGCCCTGCCCCCCCCCCCCCCAATAAAGTTACCTCTCTAACATAAAATAATACTGCCACAGAAAGGTGCTCACATCTATGGGCAAAAGGATTTTTACAGATGCTGCTTGAGTCTGATAGAAGAGCCTGAGAGTGAAGGGCAAACCCCAGTATTTACACGGAAAGACCACATTGCTCTGAAATTACTCAAAATAGTGGGTCTTTTGAATTTCAACAATTCACTGTTACTTTACATTCTAAAGTGCATATACAGAGCGATCATTTTATCTTCGGAGAACTTCATCTTTCTATATAAAAATAGAGCAGACAATTTTCTGCTCTGGGGCAAAAGTTGGGGTGAAAGGAAAAGTTGTCTCTGTTTAAACCAACTCAGGGAAGGAACGTGCTTTCAACTTGTGCAGTGCAGCTGGTAATGATTCCCTGAAGCTGTCAAGATGACATCTGTCCTACCTGATTTTGCTTAAATAAAAGCCATTTACGAGGGGGGGGTGAAAACTGGGTTTTCTGTCATTTCAGAAGGAAATCAACTCCATTGTTTTTTACATCTGTACTTAATGTAAAATGGTTTATCAAAGTTTAAATGCGACTTGGTTTTAATTTGAACATTTGAAAGTTCCCTCTACTTCAAAGAAAAAAAATGGGACTACATTAATGAATACACTGCCTGGAGGGCTAATTCTTGGTGAGGTCTCAGCACTTCCGCGGCTCGGTGTCTTTTTAATAGAGTGCAAGGATGGTCATAAGTTATTTGTGCTTTCATAGTTTAAAGGATTGAGCAAAGAGCCACAGAAAATAGTCCATTATTTGTAACTGACCTCAGCTTTCTTAAGAAAAAGGCCTAAATAGGAATACTTACAATGCTGAATTAGTAAAAGTCTTGACAGAGAACCATTCAGGATTATCTGACATATCCACTTAGTAGGAAGGCTTATTAAATGTTTATGGATAGTGCTAAAAAATTTACAAAAATCTTTTTGTAAAAGTATGCCAACCTACCGAAAGAACGTCTGTGTTTTGCTTTCCTACACATCTAGCAGATTGGTGGAGTGACTTGAGTCACCATTGTCTCCGATAATAGCGTATCAAGGACTTGTGTTTAAATAAGAGAGAAAAACCAGCATCAGGAAACTTGCTCACCAAAACCTGGGGATGAAGCAGGACTAGAACCTGGGTACTGTAACGCTCTTCAGAGAAATACTGAATAAGTAGTTGGCAAGAATTTTTTGAGCTTTTCCATGGTTAAGAACAATGGTTTTGGAGCTTGTAGAAAAATTAATTCTGCTCAATGATCCAGAAGTATGAGGACAATTAGTTTCCTTCCCGTGAGACAAAAGGTTCCGTCTTCCTTTGCTCTTTCGAGGGATGTGTGGATTCTCTCACAATATTTCAATGTCCCATTTCTGTGTGTCTTCTCCCTCCAGGGGCTGATTTACAATGACATGAGTCTTATCGTAGTAATTTCCTCCTAAAGTAAGAATTCCAAAGGGAAAGATAATTTGTTCACCAGAGGTGCTTAACACTTTGCACAGTTTTCACAAGCTTCTGATTTAGACCATTGTTTGGGAAGATTAATATGTCATTTACAAAATGGCATGAAATGGAAAAGAAGAGTTTAAACAGGCTTGACTATATTCACCTCAATGTGGACCTTATTATAACTCAAATTGAAAAAACAAGGGTATAATAAAGGGTTTCGTAAGTAAGCAGTGTGCCTGAAAAAAAAGATTAGCAAGAACAAAGAGCTCTGGCTGAATGTCAGGTTCTGTTTTTGTTTTGACACCAACAGTGACTATGACTAACCCAATTTAAGAAAAAGCCATGAACAGTGTTGGCACCGACCTTCCTAAATGCAAAGACAAGGGTAAATGATGACCTATCCTAACTTGAACTGAGGGCTTTGAATGACAATAGCAATTTCAGCAAGTTAGAGGTATTTCTAAGAAACAAAACATATTTACTTTATGGTGAGTACTTCAGATGTAGAATCATTCTCAAAGATCACGCAACATAAAACATTCTATAGCTATTAGTAAAAAGAACCCTTAGATATTGTTGGTTTTCTGATTGACTCATTTGCCTTACCTTTTTCCCCCAAGTAGAATTAAAAATTACTTAAAAATTGACCGTTTCTAATAGCCTGGGGCAGGAAACACTGGATTGCCTCATGATGCTTACCTTTAACATCAAGGACAAGCTGGTCGCTGAGATAGGAACTGATGGTTCCGTTCCTGTTCAGTCTCCATTTCTGCCTCGATTGCCCATGTTCAGTCCATAAAGCCACCTTTGCTCCAGGTGTGTCCCGGCCACCAATCACATCGAGGCATGTGTCACTGGCCTGAAAGGGTCACAAAAGAAATTAGCAGTGCTAGAGTCAGAGAGACAGTCCAGAGGGTAGGGTGTCTGACTTGCATGCAGCTGACCCGGATTTGATCCTGGTAGCACATATAGTCCCTCCAGCCTACCAGGAGTGATCCCTGAGCACAGAGCTCTGGAGTAAGCCCTGTGCACCACTGGGTGTGGCCCAAGAACTACACACACACACACCCAAAAAAGAACAAAAAATATAAATAAAAGAAATTGGTAATGCTGTCTGTTAAAATCAGACATTGAGTCCCTTTTGTTCTGTCTGAGCAAATCAAAGAACTTAATGTGATTGTCTTATCTAAGAAGAGCTTAAACTTCTTCAGTCTGATGGTGCAGAAATAAGCATTGAAATAGAAGAACTTGTTTTGATTTTTAAAGGAGTTGGGCATCAGACAACAGATGTTCAATAAAGGTTTGCTGAATTGAATTAAACATTAAGTCCCTTTAGAGTAAATGTATTAGGTCAAGCTCGGTTTCCTCCTATAAAAGGGGTGATGTACTACTGTGTATAAGACAGTAATTACTTCTTAATGCTTTTCATTTTTGTTGAAGCATGAGAAAAAAAAGTAGATAATGTATTGGTGATGCAATAAATCATAGTGGTAATGTTCTTAAGTCTCTTCTGTCCATTCACTTAAATGCTCTAATTGTATGTGTGTGTGTGTACATATGTGTTTAACTGTAAGTTCCTAGATATAGTCGTGCAATGAACCACTTCTAGGAAGTTGCACAGATTTATCAAGCCAATTTATCAAGATTCTAGTTTGCAAAAGAAAAAAAAAAAGAACATGACAGTGGAGCCGGTTAATTACCTTGGATTTAAAGAGTCCCCGACAATAGTGCCAGATCTGAGTGTTTTTCCCACTGTAGGGAGAAATGCACACAGATGTTGCCCTCGTGTCAGCTACATTCCCAGTGACTGTCAGATACTCATCCTGGGCTCGGTTCTTTATTCGAATGTACACTGCAGGCTATAAAGAGAAACAAACCAATTAGCAAAAAGACCTTCTGAATGGAAATCAGCTCCTCCAAACGAAAGCTTGGATAGTAAGTGAGGGTGTGACACTTCTTTTCATCTGTTTTTGTCATTTTCTTTAGTAAACAAATATCAGTTCTATTTTTTGCTGACAGTTCCTCAGAGCAGTTTTCAACCTTTTTATTTAATAACAAGGCCCTGGTTCATGCACTAGCAGTTGAAAAACCACTGCCTTTAGACCCTGAGTTCAAAGCTTGAACCATACGATTTCTATTATGCTTTTTGGGGAAAATGCCCATTTGGAAGAGTAAAAGGCAGTATTTTCTTTCATTCACTGATTCACTGAAAAACCCAAGTGGCACGGGGTGGTGAAGAATGGGGACTTGAGTTTAACTCAGTTATTAAATGTTTTCCCTCTCTGCCAGGGCAGACAGGGAAGCATTAAGAGCCAGGCATAGCGTGACTAACAATGTAGCAAAGACAAGTACAATAAAAACAAATAACTGTTTTTAGCTATGAAATATCCCAAGAGTGTTGTGCAACATCATCAGACTCGGGGCCCTGAGTACCCTAGGAACTGTAGTCATCTTTTTATTTATATCTACACGTGGTTGTTCTTTACACTTCAAGGGGAAAAAACATGCCTAATCGCGATGTAGGTTTTCAGAAACTAACACAAGACTTAGTTCCAGGGGCCTGGAATATTTATGCAGGAGGTTTTAAAGTGAAATATTAAATCTCAGATTTGCTTTTAAGACCAATATTGGTGTGCTAATATTTAATTAGGGAATAGTTTCCTCTCAAAACAGTGAGTGCTTGTAAAGGCAACAAGCAACAAGGGTATCCCAGGAACACCACTAATGAACAGTATACTATTTCAAAACTTAAGATCAACAGGAGGCCCATCCAACTTTTGCAGCTTACTGTTATGGTAAGGCCATAAGTACTTCAATAAGAATGTAGAAGAACACATTTTTATTTCATCACTGAGTTAGGTGGAAAGGAGTTCAGCTGGTAAAATGCATCAAATGGGCTGAAAGAACAACTCCCACTGGGCACCTGTTTCGGTCGGGGTGCTCACCTGGGCAGTCAGCAAGATTAGGAGAGTAACGCTATCTTCAGTTTAAAAAATTTACAAAGATGGCACGTGTCTGCCATGGAGGCAGAGGGAGGGTGGGAAACAGGGCGCGGGGGGGGGGGGGGGAGGGGAGGGGATGATGGGGATATTGGTGGTGGGGAATGTGCCCTGGTGGAGGGATGGGTGTTTGATCGTTCTGTGATTGTAACCCACACATGAAAGCTTGTAACTATCTCATGGTGATTCAATAAAGTAAAAAAAAAAAAAAAGATGGCACATGTGCTGTGCATGCAGGAAGTTCAGGTTCAATCCCCAGCACTGCACGGCCCCCTGAATTTCAAGTGGAGTAGCCTCTTAGCCCCCAAGCA